ATATATATATACACACACACACACACTTAAATATTTTAAGTATATTAATAATATTTAATAAAATAACGTACTTGGTACTTACTAATTACTAAGGCCCTTTCCAATTTTTACAAAATATGTACGTGTATTCATATATATTTTAATGTTTAACATTTAAAAAAATACTTTTTGTACGAAATTTTACAAAAATATTAATACTTTATATATTTTTAAATTACATTTTAATATTTTACAAAATTTTTAAATAATTATTATAATAGCAGTATAATTGGACCCTTAAGGCTTTTTAACATCAACTTTTGATGTTGAATATATATTTCTAATGCATTTTACCTTCATATTTTAAGTATTTTAATAATAATTAATATAATAACATAATTGGTCTCTTACAGCCCTTCCACATGAATGTTTAAAAATATTTTAAATATGAATTTTATTAAATATAAATTTATTTTATTATAAAATATTTATATAAATTTAGTTTATTAAATATATTCTAATATTTTACTTAAATATAAGTATTTAAGTATTTTAATAATAAATAATTATATTGGTCTCTTAGGGCCCTTTGAAGTGATTTCTTATAAGTATTTGAATTTTTTTTCCCTTTAACATGTTTAGTATTTTATTAATTATTATTTCTGAAAAAACAAAAACAAACAATTGGTCTCTTACAGCCCTTTCACGTCACTTTTTAAATATTTTTTATATATTTGAAAAATTTACTTCAATTTAAGTATTTTAATAATAATTAATTAAATAACAATTGGTCTCTCAAGGCCCTTTCATATGAATTTTACAAAGTATTAAATACATATTTTAATATTTTACTTCAATATTTTAAGTATTTCATTAATTATTAATATAGTAACATAATATGAGGTCATAAAAACTACATGCACCATAATTACAAAAATATTTGAATAAAATACTTTTTAAAATAGCTTCAGATGGAGTAGATCATGTCACTCCTCAGGGTATTTCAACTTCCGGAAACTACTCAAGTCCGATCTCAGTTGGTCTCACCGCTTTGGCGTGGTGCTCATGCAGACTCTCTGGACCGGTGCTGTTCTGGGCTTCGGTGGGTTTGGTCAGCTCCTCCTGGAGTAAGTTCAGCTGGATGGGCGAGCTGGAGCGAGAGCTGGAGAAGAGTGCTGTAGGTTGCGCTGCATCAAGGTCTTCCCCAAACCAAGGGGCAGGTATCGAGTCGACCTCCGCCGAGGCACCCGGTGGCATCCCAGCTCCTGTGACGCTGGACCCTGGAGGATGCCCCTGAGATGGAGACCCATGTGGCATGTGGCAACCAGGCGGGATGTAGCCACCCATATTAAAGGGAGGCTGGGGAACGACTCCGGGCGCCGGGACGGGCATCCCCTGCGGATACATGCCATTGTTGCCGGGGTACATGGGGTAGTTAGGAAGCAGGACGACCATCATGGGAGTCATGGGAGGCATGGGTTGAAGGTTCTGGACAGCTTGGTCAGGCTGGACCACCATGGGCTGCTGATCTGCACCGAGCACAGTGAAGTAAGGGGCCGACTGCATTGGCACTGCCATGGGCGGCACAAAGCTGATGTTGGATGGCGGGGGCTGAGACGACTCTGAGGATGGCCAGGAGGAATGAGGCGCTCCTGTGGGTCTGGGAAGTGACCAGTATTTGCCCGGCTGGGAGCCGTAGCTGTCGGATGAGTCTTCTGGTTTGGGCCGCTTGTGCTTGTTTGGAGGACGCACAACATCAGCTGAGAGTAGATGGGAAAGGAGAGTTAATGAGTCTCAACACACAATTATACTGCTGTATGGGAGACGTTAATGTTCACGGCTAATGCATTTTATTTCTGTGAAACATTACAGTTAATTTCCTATATTGTGCAGTATAAAATACTGTTAAAAACTGGCCAAATAACTCAAATGTTGTAGATATTAGCACACTGTTAATATGTAAATTTTTTCTTTACATTTTCAGATAAAAAAATAACTATATAAAATATATAGTTTTAATAATAGAATCAAATGAATAATCCATAGGCAGCATTAATCTTAGGTTGCTCCAGAGTGCTTGTTCTTATCACAAGTTGCTCCAGACACTTTTATCCAAAGCAAATAACAAATGAAGAATATGACAAGAAATAGACTGATAAATAACAACAGCTAGCACACACACACACACCTCTGTGATGAGAATGGGCCATGCTGCTGTTGTCCTGCTGGAGGTAGGAGCTGTAGGGACTCTGCAGGACACGATGTTGGAAACGATCTACGAATTGCTGCTCCTCCTTCTGGGTGTGGGCCGACAGCACCTCTTTAGTAAGACCCACCACGAGTAACTCCTCCTGAGCCGCTGAGGAGGTGCTGGGGGCGGGGCGTGCAGGGGTGGGGGCAGAGTCTGTTGGTTCACTCCCCATTGGAGCATCTTCTAAGGCTGTGACCTCTGGAGGAAGACAAGCGGCAGATGCAGGCATTCAGCGGTGCTGCCTAAAAACTTAGTTTTAAAGGGATAGTTCACCCAAAAATTTCCTGTTCATTTACTGACCATCAGGCCATCCAAGATGTAGGTTTTTTTTTTCTTGAGTAGAACAGTAAAAAAAAGTGGTTCTTTGTGACTCATAAAAATGCAAACAAGTGTCTACTGGTTTTTGAGAATAAAAAAAGCATATCAAGGAACACAAAATGAATACTTGTGGCTCCTGACGATATACTGAGGTCTTATGAAGTGAAACAATCGGTCTGTGCCAGAAACGGAACATTAATTACAACATTATTACCTGTAATCCAGAGACTCAGGCAATGGGGAAATATGATGTTTCTTTCCGTTTCTTTACATAATCACGCAATGACAATGTATACGCAATTATATTATTATAATGATGTGAAACGTGGATGTTTTACATGTCTAAAGCACATGAAGTGAATAAACTTGTCTTCATCAGCTCACCTTTTTACATAAACTGTGAGAAACCATAAAAAACGTTAATTTCTCCCCTTCGTACATGTGCTCGGTTTACGCATGCGCAGATCACCGGCTCATCGGTCTCCAGTCCGAGTCGAACTGTTTCCTCAGTTCAGTGACTGTTGGAGGAACTGGAGCGCTGAATGAGTTCATAAGAGGATCTGATACGCCGGTATTTTGGCTCATTTTGAGTCAGAGTGACTGTCTGACATCCGAAAGTGAGTTTTGACTGAGTAACTTGTAGATCTGAAACTAGTCCCACTAGTTTCCCAAAAAGAACCGGTTCAAAAGAACAATTCGTTCGCAAACCAGACATCACTCCAGTTTGTTTGCCTGAGGCTCTGGATTATAGATAATAATGTAGTAAATAATGTTCAGTTTCTTGCACAGACAGATAGTTTCGCTTCATAAGACCTCAATAAATCGTCAGGAGCCACAGGTATACATTTTGTGTTCCTTGATACGCTTTTTTTTAATTCTCAGCCAGCCGCTTGCATTTGCATCAATCACCAAGGACCACAGTTTAAGCTAAAAATCTTCTTTACTGTTTTAATCAAGAAAAAAAGTCACCTACATCTTGGATGGCCTGAGAGTGTGTAAATTAACAGCAAATGCTCATTTTTGGGTGAACTATCCCTTTAAATACGGTTTAAGTGGCCAAACACATTTTGTGTCACTGTAACTCACCTGACTCGGGCTGCGGCACGTGCACTATGGTGCTGCTGTAACTGCACTGACTGGTGACGGACACCACGCTCATGGCTTCTGTGGAGATTGTAATGTCTGTGAGCGGCGCTCCCACCACCGCTGCCGTCGTGGCCGAACCCGCAGACACCTGGTTGTCCAGAGCACCAGCGCCCTCTAGCGCAGCTTCTGCAGGAGAAAGTCAGTCATCAGAATCTGTGCAGGGTTTTAGGAGGATACAGAACCAGTTGGAATGGACTTTGAGAGCTCGTACCGTCTGTGTTCACAGCGTCTTCATGTGCGGCCGCTGTGGGTTTGTCTTCCTCAGACATGGAGGATGAAGATGACGTAGCTATGGACAAAGAGTCGCTCTTTCGTTTCAGAGCAGACGTCGCACAGCTCTCCAGATATCTAGAAGAAGAAAGCAAACCTCCATAAATAGATCACAGGCTACACTTAAAATGAATGATAATATCAAAAAAAGTTTCTAATTGTTTCATTGTTTCTAATGTTGTTATATTTTTTTAAATTTAATTATTATAGAAATTTTATTTCATTTGCTAGATTATCCAATAATATTTAAACAATTATGAAAAAATAATAATATATATATATATATATATACATATTAGGGCTGGGCAAGTTAATGCGTTATCTTTTTTCAATTTTTTATTTTTATGAAAGTCCGTTGCTCACTGGCTCTGAATACACATACAGACAAACCATATGGGGTCTAGATATATCACTTTTGCCGCTCAGAAATGTTCACGCAATCATGCTGCATGTATCAGAAGTTCCGCGTTCCGGCGCGGTTAGCGATCTACATGCTTTGGGAATCAAACGCGCTCAGGCACGGTTTAGATTGCCTAGTGTGAGTAGGCTACACCCTTATTCTCCCGCATCCCGCACACACGAGTCTCTACTCGCCCATCAAGTGTTGTCCCGCGCCGCACTCTGCTGCGTTGGGTCTCGCGTGATCCTGGTCTCTACACGGAAGGTGCCCGTTTATAATGTTATGATCGAGGCTCTGGACTCTGAGCATAACTTGTTTTTCTATAACAAACGCCCTGGCAGTGGCAAATAGCTTTGGTTTTATATTTAATTTGAGTACATGAATGTTATAAATTGAGATTTACAATAAATATTTTTACTGCTACTACGTAAAAGGAATACTGTTGTAAAAAAAAAGCACCTTATTTGTTTAAAGTGCTTGCAAACCAAATGTTATTGCACTTTTGTTCATATAGCAGTACTTTTAAATGAAAAAAGTGCACAATACTACTTTTGAATTCATTATTGAATTATATGACTACACTGTTATTTAAAATGTAAACTACTTTCTTTGAATTTCCAAAATAAAAAATAACTACTTTATATAAAACATATATAATATTATTTTATGAATTGCATATTTAAATGAAGTTAATTACAACAGAAAAATGATTTAATTTGCTGGATTATCCAGTAATGGATATTAATACACTGTTCTGTATTATGTAATCTTCTATCTTTAATTTTAAAGTAAAAAATAACAATATAAAATATATAGAAAAAATTATATAAAATAAAATACAATTTTATGGACTGCATATTTAAAATAATTATCAAGTAATTATTATTATTATTAAACTTTTTTTAAACGCGATAAACGCCATTTTTTTTTTTTTTATTGAGTTTCCGCCAAAATCATTATTGTATCTGGTCGGTATTGAAAAGTCCATTTTCTACACTAAAGAGCGGCTATGCGTTTGTTTTGGCTATATTACTTTTTTGTCTTACTCAGCGCACTGCCTGCGTCTGAGTAACAAAAAAAAAAAAGTGCATGTGATATTAACATACGAACTACGTTCATATTTATAATTCCAAACAATCAGTAAGCGACAGGTGCTAGGAAACGCTGTTTTGTA